CACACACATCTGGATACACTGTTCCCATAGAGACCAGGCCAGCCTGTACACACACATCTGGATACACTGTTCCCATAGAGACCAGGCCAGCCTGTGTAGACAGCTTGCAGAGACACATGGGCTCAACCATATGTTTGAGCTATATTAGAGTAGTCTAAAGAGCTGGGACTGTCATAATCTGTCATTCAAGCTAGTTTAATGCAAGGTAATCAGGTGCATGAGCATTCTGGTTAAATATCAGCCTGAGAGCTGCTTCGACCCCGGGCTAACAGCAGTTTGAAGCCATTTCCATGGAGTCTCTGTCTCACCGACGGGTGAACACATACTACCTGTCCTGGTTCATATTTGCTATTAGATTACAACTGTTAGCCAACATACCTTTCATTTACTGACACTAAATCCTAAAATAAGGCCTTTTTCAACACAATAATCTTGAAAGGAGCATGATACTGTACTTTTGATCATGTGAGCTTTTGTGCTGCGAGAGTGAGAAATCTTTTCTTATTGCAACAGGGCACCATGTCTGACAGGAAGGCCGTCATTAAAAATGCTGACATGTCTGAGGAGATGCAGCAGGATGCAGTGGAATGTGCCACTCAGGCCCTGGAGAAGTACAACATTGAGAAAGACATTGCTGCCTACATCAAAAAGGTGTGTGAATAAGAATGCAAAGCTTTCAGATGGGAGGAGCCCTTCTGTCCATGTAACCTGTTCAGTTATTATCTAACTGATCAACTGTTTCTTGAAAGAAGCCAGGGATTGGGCTTCAAAGCATGGCTGGGAACATTTTCACACCCCGACAACTCTATTGTTAAACAAAATGCCTCCAGTACTTGGTTTTTAAATGCACTTCCAGGGTTTATGCCTGTGCCTATCAGCTCAGTTTTTCGCGCTTCATTCTGAAGAATTACTGTATTGACTGTCAATGACATAATTTTGAATACTTGTATCGGAATCCCTGGTAGTCTTCTGTTTACTTCCCATTAATCCTGCTCTGGACTGATTCCAGAGCATCAGTGACTATAATTGTGTACTTGCTAATACATTGTACAGTTAACATCCCTTGGTTTAAATGTTATTCTTTTAACTGTATATCCCAGCATTTTGTTTGTACCACATTGTTGGTAGGTGTCAATATAAACACTTGTCTTTCCTAAGAATGACAAAGACATGGTTGTCAGAATCTCATTTTCAGAAGAAGAAAGGTAGGAGCTACTCAGAGTTGTGTCCCAGGCTAACGCGTGGTGCTGTGGACGCTGCTGGAGACATTCTGATTTAGTATAAAACCTGTTTTGATTGTTACACTGGGGTTCTCCACAATACTCAGTGGAGTCCTTGTTATCTTCCATCATGTACTGGAAAAAAACTTGTTATTAAGTCGTTGAATGAGAAGTAAACATTTTAGCCTTTCCACACTTCCTGCATTAATGTGCATCTCATGGTGATCTAAAAATAGTCTTCTATAATTTTATTAAATTTAATCAGTAACCACTGCCCCTTTAATTTGTTGACTTTATGCATAAAGTAGTACAAACGTTTTCATTTAATTAATTGATATAGTCACTTAATTGTTAAGCGCCTTGGGGCAACCTTGTTGTGAAAGGCGCCATATGAATTGAATTGAAAAGTATCAAAGAAAAATTTGCAGTTGTGATAACTTAAGAAGAAAGAATGTGCCATGAAACAAACTGGTGAGTACAAAGTATAGCTGAACAGTGGAAAACAATGTACAGTTTTCAGTACTTTAAACTTTACAGGTACAATAAAACCTAAAACTCCTCCTTTCCCACAAATCCAATTATTTTCTGTTTTTATTTTTAAGTAAAATGTCTGGATTTGTTTTCACTTTTACATTATAGTGTACTTTGTGTTGATGAGTGGCAAATATACTCAGTTAAATCATGGTTCCATGCTGTAATCCTATAAAATGTGAAAAAGTCCAATGGGGGTGAAGACCTTTCATAGGCACTGTATTTGGCTTATCTTTTTTATCCAAAACAACTTTATTTGTACCTTATATAACTTATGTAGCTTATATAACAAGGTATTTTACCATTACAATGTCTGTAAAATACCTTGCTCAAGGCTACAATAGCAGTTCTCCACCTGGGTTTTGAACTTACCACCTTCCAGTTCCAAATACAGAGCCCTAATCACTCTTACACATCACTGCTATCAAATAATCTATTTATTTGCCTTATTGCCTCAGTTGATATTTCATGTGCTCGTAGTATGATACAGCAGTCATATTTCCTGGGATCATAAAGAGTTTCTAGACAATTAAACTTTGACACCCTGTGGATCACATAGACAACCCTCACATGCAGCCAGCACTGACACTTCCCTAGTACTTTCATGATGTGCTTTTCAAAAATCGCTTTCAAGCAATCATGTTCCTGATGTTCAAGCTTCTTAGTCTGGTGCAATTATATAAGCAGGCTGCGGTCACCCTACAGCTGGACACGATAAAACAGCTCCAGATTGTTGGGATGTTGTCTGTACATCTCCTCACGAAGTCAGTTTTAATTTTTACACTACTCCTTCCTTTTTAGACTTCATCCAGTCTCTATTTTTGCTTCTGTTTTTTCAGGAATTTGACAAAAAGTACAACCCTACTTGGCACTGTATCGTGGGAAGGAATTTTGGCAGTTACGTCACTCATGAGACCAAGCATTTCATCTACTTCTACCTGGGACAAGTGGCTATTCTTCTCTTCAAGTCTGGATAAGAAGACCAATTCACATTCACACATGATTCCAAAGTCAATCAATTCCATTCATCAGACAACAGACTGATCTGTGGAGCTCAAGCTCTACAGGAATTCATTGTCCTTACTGCAAGGACCTGGAATTTCTGTGCTGCTTTACTTGTTTCTTTACTGGTAGAAATGTTCATGTATCAAATACTTGTATTTATTTTTGTTCATTTTCTATACAGCAAAGAAAACAGGCAACTCTAAATAAAAGTTTTTTTAGAAAGTCATGTCTGTATGTGCATTAGTTTACCAAGTACATCCAGGACAGCTCGGCTGGAACTGGCACACTCACACCCTAGATATGTGTGCCCTGACCAGTTCTGAGTATTTAGTTGTTCAGCCTGGTATTGTGAAATAAGCAGTTGTATTTGTGAATTAAATTACATCAAGTAATTGCTACTGAACGAACTCCAAAAAATATATTTAACACATGAGTTCAGTTTAATCTTTTGCAGCTGGTTGTTAGAATGCTAGTATTCGTACATTCCCATCTCTTATGAGGTTTACTTCCCTTTCTCAACAACTGAAACCTCAGATATGTTATCTTGAAACCAAACCCTTGTCATGGATGCAGGCATCTGTAATGGGAACAGAATGCACATCCAAAAAACAAGCCCTTTGTTATTAAAGAGCTGGTTGACGTTTCCCTTTAGAAATGTCTGTCACCTCAACTGGGTCTGGAAACCTGATGCTCCCTCATGAGAGATTTCATTGTGTGTAGTAGCTATAGTAACCTTTGGCAGCTACATTTAAACAGGTTTATAAAATAACATTTTTAAACTTTATGCACATGAAATCGTAGTTATCAAGTTGCCTGCTAATTACCCTAGTGTGCTTTAAAAACCAATTTATATATTCTGAATAGATTTTCTCTGACATTTCACAAATATTAGCAAAATCCACTCATTTTCTAATCACTTCATCCAGTACAGGGTCACGGAGGCTTTGGAACCTATTGCAATCAAGCAACATCCTGAACAAGCAGCCATCTACAACCTGGGCAGGACACTTAAGTTGAACCTATCTAGTTTTGAAATGTTATTCATTACTACCCATATATTGTCCCCATTTAATAACGTTGGTTATTTCAAAGTGGACATACAAGTGGGTGGACAGGTGGAGTGGTAGCACTGTGGCTAAGGATCTGTGCCTGTGGCCAGAAGGTTGCTGGTTCAAATCCTGTGGTGGGCAGAGGAATCCTACTCTGTTGGACCCCTGAGCAAGGCCCTTAACCCCAGCTGCCCCAGGGGTGCCATATAAATCGCTGACCCTGTGCTCTGACCCCAAGCTTCTCTCCCTGTCTGTATGCCTGTGTCTCATGGAGAGCAAGCTGGGGTATGCAAAAAGACTAATTCCTAATGCAAGAAATTATATATGACCAATAAAGTGATCTGATCATACTTATACAGTATTATACCACAATAGATGCATTAGCTCTTACAAAGAGAATCTTTCAGAAAACTTTATTAAAACGTGTTTACATTTTTTTATACATTCATCAAATACACAAGAGTGTTAATATTAACATTGAACCCTACAAAGATACAGTGGGAAGACACAATCTGATTTAACATATAAATTAAGTATCACATCAAATTCAAAACAACATTTTATCAAACCCAAGTGTGACAAAATAAGGTAGTTTTTAACTGTAGTTCACACCCTGGCCACAGTTTTGGTCAGTCTGTGCCAAGAGCCAGATTTCTGCTGAGGGCAGGAGAGTCAACTGTCTCTCACACTAATACTAGGTTGAGGCACTGTGGAAAGTAAAGACTCGCTTAGAGTCTCTACCTTATAGTTTGAACCCAGAGTGAATGGCTACCACTCCACCTGTCAAGTTGTGAAACTGGACCTTGTAGAAGCCAGCATCTTCAATCAGGGCCTTGAATTCCTCCTGGAAAATGAAAGCCTGAGATCACTCACAGGCCAGCATCACAATGCACCAGAGAAAGGCAAGTGCACACAACAAGAGTCTACTGATGTACTGTATTTTTAAAACTTAATTGTACTGTATTGCATCCAATACAATACAGTTCTGTGGTTAATTGACACATCAATCAAATAAATCAATAAACTAAACAAATATTTTAATTGAGTGACAGGTCCATTAAAAGGATTTTTTGTTCCTTAGAACATTACATCTTACAAGCATTTAGGTGGGAAGCTGAAAAGGAAAAGCGAATTCAATTCCACACTGAAAACTAGTGAAGAATGTCTATGTAGCCTTCAGGCATGACGAGAGAAAAATGAAGGGGTAGGAAGGAGCCATCAGGTGTCACTGAAATACACCTGCAGCAGCTATATTACCCAGCAACTCACAAGTGCCAACTCATGAAGTGAGCCTGGTCAGTACCTGGATGGGAGACCCCTGGGAAAACTAAGGTTGTTGCTGCAAGAGGTGTTAGTGGGCCCATTAGAGGGTGCTCACCCTGCAGTCTCTGGGTCCTAATGTCCCACTATAGTGACGGGGACACTATATTGCAAAAAAAGCACCATCTTTCAGATGCAGCATAAAACTGTGGTCCTGACTCTGTGGTCATTAAAAATCCCCAGATGTTTCTTGAAGAGTAGTGGTGTTAACCTGAGTGTTCTGGCCACTTTTCCCCCTGGTCTTTATCAATCATGGCCTCCTAATAATCCCCATCTCTGATTTGCCTTCATGCTTCTTCACTCTGTTCCTCCCTGCTGATAGCTCATGTGTGGCGAGTATACTGGCGCATCATCCAGGTGGGGCTGCACACTGGTGAAGGAGGTAGTGTTTCATTACTCAGACACGTATAACTTGAATAAAATGAAACTGCACCTGGTCTGGGAATCGTCGGATGCTCTCCACCAGGTACTGATATGACTTCCAGTCCCCGGCAATCACTTCTCCCAGCACTGGGATCAGCTGGAAGCTGTAGGTATCATAGAGTCTGCAGATATTAGAGCAGAGGTTTTGGCCTGTTACTACAAAGCATGTAGCACAGGCACACCATGCAACATAAAATAATTACAAAATAATCCAGGTTTTTAGCAGTAAGGCTAATTAACCCGTGTCTACACAATGACAGGAAGTGTGCAAAAAGCTGATTTTTCTGATGTTGCATAACCATTGGAATGAAACTGCACATACTTTGTAAACCACTGCTGTGCAGTATCACTCATTCCTCTCATCACTGTCAGTTACCCTCACCTTTTTAATCTTTTTTATCTAATCCCGCTCTCTCACCTGGACAGCAAAGGGTTGGAGACTCGACTGAACTCCAGACACAGGAAACGCCCCCCTGGCTTCAGGACCCGGTGTGCCTCTTGGAGCGCCTGCCAGAAAAGAACAACAGACATCAGGCACAGCAGAGGCTACTGTAGGACAACAGGAAAGTTGCAAATGATGGGAGGTCATTTGGGATCCTCACCACTCAAACAAAACATCCCAATATAATACAGCACTTACAATCTCACTACACAATTATGAAACACACGACAAACAGAAAATTCCCTGCAGCTTGTCAGGTGCTGTCGACTGCTCTGGTTACACAACATCACTATTAAAATACCATTAAATCACACAAGGTTTTATAAGCTTCCAGTTATGCCACAGCTGTTAGTTCAATTCCTTATTTTAAATGAGTGGACTATAACTGTAACTGTAATCACTTTTCCTTCCAGTTAGAAGCCTGACTTTAGTGCTCAGGTTAATCAGAGGGGTGGCCATCTACAAGAGAATGGCAGTGAAGTGGTACAAAGACAAATGCTCTGCCCTTGGGATTTCACCTGCTCGATGTGCGTGACGTTGCGAATCCCGAAAGCAATGGAGTAAATGTCAAAACTGTCATCGTCAAACGGCAGTTCCTCTGCATTGCCTACCACCCAGGACAGGCCTGCATACAGACAAAAGACTCGCTCAGCTCTGGTTCGGTTCCCTGTCTGGCCCAGTCTGGTCAGAAGCAAGAACCGACCCGAGCGCTCACTGTGCGCTGCTGTCGCCTCCTCATGTACACCAGGGATTTTCAACCATTTCTGACTGGTGGAAAAGAAAATAACCCCCCGTTCGAATATAAAATCAAAATGAAGTCTACTATAAATAAAGCCATTTTTGTCAAATGAATTATATGAAAAGAAGACTAACATATCAACAGACCGCGTGTTCTGTACTATGAAACGGTTTTGATTATGCACACTACAGGAACAAATGGACAGTCAGTGAGGACCTTCAACAGCTACTGGACTCCATGTTCAAAATCTTCTCCTCTGCATAACAGAAACCAACTGCTTCACTGAGGAATCTGCCACTTTTGTTCTCCCTTGTTAAATATTAAACTTTAAAGCAATGACCTTCAAATACAATATGTAATACCTGTTCTTTCAGTGTAGTGCTTTGCGTTTTTAGAAAGGTACTCTTAAATAAAATTCCATTATAATCTTTTGCCCAACGAGAGAGCACTGTGCCCATACAATGAGAACTTTACCTGTGCTGAACCCCAGATCAACTGCACGCTGTCTCCCCACTTTAAGCATCTGCTTATTGATGTCACACACCACTGCCAAAGCCCCATCACCGGTCCCTAATCGGCCAGTCTGATAGCTAGCGGAGATCTGTTGCCAGGAGGGAGTTTGGTGAGAAGGAGCTGCACGCCAGGCTCGCCGCGCCTCTTGAGAGCGCACATACTCCAGGAACCGGAATGAGATGTCACCTGAAGAGAGGGCAGTACAATCAGGTCAAGACCCTGTGAGACCGACACTGAGCAAGCTGATGTCTCAGTCCGGCCAATATGCATGTACAACTGTCTACATCTACCTTTCTGCATGTATACCTGTCTCTGTGCCTCCATGCCTGTGCCGTGAGCTTTTAGGGGGATTCTAATTAAGAGCTGTTCAGCTTCTCCATCAGAAAAGCTCTGGCCCTGCAGTTGCTCTCATACTGAGCAGGATCTCTCTTACAACAACACATCATCAGCAGGTAAAACATACCAGTCTCACCAACTCACCTTCCCACTTAGCAGGGGAACAATCCTGCAATTGAATTCCACTTCACAAGTGATCCCTCTGTGATCCCTGGGCATCTGCCTGTGTTTCAGCACACCTGTGAGGCTCACCTGTGCCACCAGCAGTGTCCAGCAGCCGTGTCCCAGGACTGGGGTTCATCACATGAAGAAGGGCATCCTTCCAGAGCCGGTGAACCCCCAGGCTCATCGCATCATTCATCACGTCATACTTCTGCGCCACACTTTCGAACACCTGGTACACTAGGAGACCGGGAACACACCGGCTGTCATGGACAACGACAGCATTAACCAACCCCACAGGCATCTTGCTAAATACGGCTACATTATGAAGGACCTCTTTCAAATTCGTTTGTTTACCTGGACTCTGTAAAAACAACGACAGGCAGCGCTGGGATGATCAAAACGTATCCTCAGCTGAATGATACAATCGGAGGCAGCCCGTTCTTGTGATAGTGTGGAAATTGCTAAATAAATCCTAAGCCTAGCAATTAATTTTATATTTAGAACTCCATAAATATAAAACTATTAGCCGGTTTGCAGAAGAAACACAGTACTTTAAAGGTTAAAAGCAACATCTTACTTAACTATTGAATATTCTGAAAACTAAACTGGGTAGCTGCCTCAGGATGCGTAGGCTGCAAAGGAACAAATAATAGGTTTATTCCGTGCTGAAAAGAAAAGAAAGGAAACAACGTTTCGGCTGTGGAGCCCAAACCTTATTTTTTCTTTCTTCTCTTTTCAGCACGAAATAAACATTACTTATTCTGAAACCTCACCTCTCTCAGCTTTCTCCTCCTCCGACACCGTCTCGAACCCAAAGTGTGTGCTTCTCTCTTCCGACCCGGATTTGTAGCGCCTCCAGGACACGGCGGACCAGGCTGATTCCCTAACATCCACTACGGGGATCCGACACTTGGACCCAGAAAAGAAAAAAGTCCAATAAACGGAAAAACCCCGAGAGCAACTGCTTCTGATGGAAGCCGCCATCTTACTATGTCCTCTGAACTTCCTTGTCACATGACAAGGGCCAGTTCTGGCTTCATGAAACTGCGACACGCCCACAATGCCATCTTCTGCAGTTTTTTCCCCACTTCTCACTCACGACACGTAAGGCCATTTTCATATCAAACTGGATAGGAACGCACAAATCACAGCAGCGCGTACAAATCGTATCTCTTTGATAGAGGGATGTCCAGATGTTTTGCTTTTTAACAAAAAATCATTTTTGTAGCAGAGCTGCTAAGAGTGTAACACAAGCATTTACATTTTATATATAAATGTTTCTTTTTCTGTTTAAAACTGTTTTACAGAAATTTCCCATGCACTGCTCAAAGACAATACTTTCATATGGGGATTGTGTGCTCCCTATACTGCACAGGAGGCTCTCATCCAAAGGACTGTGGTAGTCAGGTGTCTGCCTCCCAGCCACCCCAGTAGCCACTGAAACCCACTGGCCTTCTCTTGCTTTGGGCCTGATGATTCACTGATACTTGACTGGATGTGATCAAGGTGGTTCTCTGGATTCAGCCCATCCGGGCCTGCACAGGTAAAGAGTCATGACTCGAAACACATTAGAGGTGAGAAAATATTACAATTTTATTTGAACAAAACAGTGGTGCATCCTTCTCCTCCCACCCCACCTGGCCGCTTGCCCCGTGCTGGCTGATGCAGGAACGGGCCGTGGCCCCCCCTCACCTGGCCATGTCAATGAGGCTCTGCAGGGAGGTGGGCACCCAGGTCTTCTCCCCCTGCACGAACACCACGCCACGGTCGATGTAGATGACAATGCGCCCGAAAGTGTACAGCTGCTTGCCCTCGTGGCGCTTCCCCACCAGGGGCATAAAGACGATGTTGTGCTCCTCGGCTTTGGCCTGGATTAGGTCCTTGAAGTTGGTTGGCACGGCCGCGGCCCCGATGCCCCTCTGCGCCACGCTCTCCGCCTCCCGGCGCTCCTGCAGCGCCTCGTACTGGAAGTCCTTGCGGCGCTCAGTGTGTGTCAGGTACGCGATGTTCTCCCTGGCCCCAGGTTGCTGGTACACACCTGGAGAGAGCGGGGCCGCGAGGGACAGAGATGAGCAGGAGCGGTTCGAGGACTATCCAGTTTGTACTCTCGAATGGAAGCTCATATAAGGATATTACACAACTTACAAACTGAAAACTTAAAGGAAAAAATATACAATAAACAACACTTTTGCTAAAGGCAGTCTATACAAGAGAGCCACACGTTCTGAAATCTCTTATGTTCACCTTTCGAAGAGGCAGTTAATAAAACTACAGTTCCTGCAGTCTACATCTGAAGAGGCTCCTATATGGATGTTCTCTCTACTGTTATAAAATTCTGGTTAGTCGACGCTTACCAATGCCAGAGGAAACTGCGCGGTTCATGATGTCCAGCGCCTCGTTGAACTTCTCCTTGATGACTGGTTGTGCAAGAACAGCGTCGGAAAAGACAGACTTCCAGCCCAGGTACCAGCGTGTGATCTCCTCGTAGTTCGGACTGTTACTGAGCCAGGAGCACAGCACCTGCCAACACAGACTCGGTCTACTGCTCTGTCTCTGCAAAGAGGCCCTGCGGAGCATCACAGACCGTCTACAGCCGAGCTACCGCACCTTCACTGGACACCCACCGAAAATACGAAAAATAAACCAACCACTCGTAATGTGCCATTATTTAGACTTTTACGCATCAGGGAAACTATAAAAAGGCAATCAGGACTGTAAGATATACCTTTAAAGGTATAGGATTTAAATCAAGGGATGTGGTGCTGAAATAACACAGTGCACTGGTAAAAACTCGTTTAGAATATTGTGACAATCTTGGTCTCCACAATTCCTGCTCTAGAAGAGTATCCAGATATGCTTTCATGTTTGAGAAAGGACTGTCCTACAATAGCAGGCTATAGAAACTGAATCTCTGTTGAGTCCACCCACTGAGTCAACCCAGTAATGAGCTTCAGGAACAAGAGTGAGACACGAACCCAGGGCTACAAGTGGAAACCCACACTGACCTGTAGCCACTTGGGGAAGAAGTGCTTGTCCAGCAGGCTGACCAGGCAGGACAGCGACAGCATTCCCTCCCAGTCCAGTACCCAGTACAGGGGGTCCATGAGCTGCTGGTGGGGGTTCACGACCAGTTCGCTGAGACAGAGTGCTGAGATAGCAGGGGGCAGGGGGAAAGAGAGGAGAATAAAGAGAGTGACACACAAAAACGATGCAAACTCCACGAGACAGATACCAGAGTGGAGCGGTGAGTGCGAGAGGGACGACTGGAGAGACAGAAAGCAGGAAGGGAAAAATGGTAAGAGAATCAAACTAAAGCAATGAAGAGCGCAGGGAGGAGCTCTGGGGCAGGGACAGGCGGAATAAGAGAAGAGGGACGGGGGACTCACCCAGTTTGGGGACGATGTTCTTCACCATGAAGGCCTCCCAGGCGCCTGGCGTGAAGACGTCCTTCCAGGGCTGCAGGATGAGGCGGGCAGATCCGTCGCTGGGGTGCCAGCGCTGCAGGGCGCTCGCCAGCTTGCTTCGGATTGGGGGGTACAGAGGCTCCAAGCGCCCCTGCAGGAGGGGCAGCCAGGGGTGCAGCCAGGAGTGGATGGGCACCGTGTCTGTCAGTGGGTTCCAGCTCTCCACCTAGAGACAGAGCCCAAGGTGGCAGCTGAGTTTCAAACCACTGTGCTTGTGCCAACGCAGCCAGTGTCAAAGACAGGCAGTGTCATCGGCCTCAAGGCGAAACAGCCACTGTGTCAGTGTTAGTGGACTGCTGCCAGCATTGGTACGTCAATGTATTCATTTCACTGTGCTGGTGTCAGGGAGCTGCCTCACCTCCCTCTGCAGCTTGGGGAAGATGAGCGTCTCCAGGATGTTGTCCAGGATCCAGATGGGCAGTAGAGGTGCCCAGCTATCCAAAAAGTCCACCATGGGGCCGACGTTACGGGGCTGCCACTGTGACACAGCACTGCGCACCAGGGGCACCCACACCTCCCACAGCAACCTGCAGACACGGAATCCGGGATGTAGTACACACACACTGACCAGAATCTCAAATATTGCACCCTATCCCCAAGACTGCTGCCCACCGCCAGAGTTCTCACCTGTGGTAGGGGTCCATGAGCTGGTTATCTGCTCGGCTGTGGGGCAGCTGTCCTGACTCCAACACTGCCCTCCAGCGGCCAACCTCCTCCAGCCCCCGTGTCCCATCCTACAGGGACAGAAAGGGTTAACAGCATGTGTGTGTGAAATGAGCCCACAGAAGAGTCCATCAGAGCACAGCACTCGGGTGTGTCACTGTCAGAGGGCACAGAGCTCCTGTGTGTCACTGTCAGAGGGCACAGAGCTCCGGTGTGTCACT